AATGAAATGTGAGCCTTCAAAGAAGTTTTATGCTTTTGGCCACTTTGGCCTTTATTTCCAGATTATCTTTTTATTCTGTGAGTAAGGATTCTGTGTTTATTTGTTTGTTTGAAAGCAAAGAAGCACTGCCAATTACCATCTGTGTTGGCCTAAGTATGGATTAGTTTATCAGGTTATCTAAGAGGAGGACTAGTGACTGATAAATTTTGATGGGAGGCAGGGATTACATCCAGAAAATACTCAAAGCCTGAGAAGCTGTCCAGGGAGGGACACTCTCAGAAGGGCTTATTTCGGGAAGGTATGTCTGTGAATGACAGAAAGAAATCCTGTCAACCCAATACTTATTAGGTAAGTGAAATGGGCAGAAGCAGGCAAGGGTACAGGATCACAGCAGTCAGCTGCTGAACAGCTTTATCAATACAAATAGTGTCCACTTGACTCCAAGCCCCCGCCCCCAGAGAGCTAGGAACAGTATAACTAACCTTCTTCTGGTCACTAGGGTACCATGGTTTATAAACCCTAGTTCTAACCCAAGGATCCTTCTCCCACAACTGAGCACTTCCTCAACAAGTTGAGGAGGGGAAGCTGAGAGCTAATGGTGGGTCCTGATCAGCAGCTGAGTTTGAGTGGAGAGGGTGTCGCCAGTTAGCCAAGACAAACAATGTAGCTGGTTGCCAATTTGCTGCTCATCAGCCCAGTGCTTACTGTGCCACTGGCCCTTTAGTGTCTCCCAGCCCACACCTGGTGTGCAGGCTCAGCTAGCATACCTTTGTCTAAAAAACTCTCTTAGCATAATTGCCTAGCCTTTAGTCTTCCTTCCTCCTAGGGGCAACTCTGTTGAAATGACCCTTTCTCCATTTTGATCTGGCATTCTGTCTCCCAGCTTTCCTGCTAGCTCCCAGTTTCCTCAGTAGCTCAGGAAGTTCGTCTCTCTTTTCCTCTATCTACCCTGACACCAACACCAGGGCCCTGGTTGGTTCCAGGTGTTTTAGGGTGGATGAGTGTCTTGCTGAAAGGCAAAATGGGGAATAAAGTGTTGGGGGCTGAAAAATTACAATGCAAGTTTCCTCCTTGATCTTTCTGATGACAGCATCCTCCCTCCTATCATCCCAGCGCCTGCCTAGCCAATCTAACGGTTCTCTTGCTGCCTTAAGTAGATGCACTTCTGACTCCAGGCTGCTGGTGATGCCCTACTCTTTGCTTCTTTCTCTTTTCCTAGGAGCTGATGGGTGAATAGATAGCCCCAGCAGAGGCAGCCAGTTTAGTGATATCTCTGTGGAAAAGGCTAATGGCCTCTCTCTGCTATGTAATGTTAGTTGAAGGCTTAAAAGTTTGTCTTTCTGGAGACATTATCATTCTTATCAAATAGGCATGGGTTCAAATCCTGAATTAAACCCTATTAGCTTGTGGAAATTGCATAGCCTTTCTGAGCATTCAGTTTCCTTTAAAATAAGGGTATCACAGTACCTTACCCTCTTAGGTTTATTGTGAGGATTCAATGTGATAATACATGTTAAATGCTAACACAGTACCTGGCCCATAAGTGCTCAGATAAAGTTAGAATAACAATTATTATTACCATGATATTCTTTGTCATCATGGGACTAGACTCCAGGTTTAGTTTTTTTAGGTTTCCTTTTCCTGCTGCACGAGTTTTGGCTTCTTTGGCTATAAAATTAAGAATTAATGGTGTTACCTAGTAAGAGGGTTGTGATGATCATAAAGTGAGTTATGCATGTAAAGTTCTCAGAGATGGCTGGGGAATCCTATGAGGAGAGTGGAGGGAACTATATTTCTCCTCAAAGTGAAGAACCATCCTCCTTTTCCTAAGAACATTAGCAGAGTGCCAGCTTGCAATGAGTGATGGTTTGATAAAAGGTAGTCAGTATTACTATCATTACTGGAAGCCAACAGACTGTCCATCTACCCCTGGATTCTCAGTTAATGGTGAACTGGCTGCTTGGTTGTTAAGTGGTGGTTACAGATCAAGATGCCAGTGAAGTTGGGCTGCCCTCATCCAATCTCAGTGTGGAAGGGAAAAATAGTGCCACTTATTAGCTTCATCTCAATGTATGGATTTCAATAGGAAATGGGCTTCCGGCTGTATCATCTTCGTTTGGTGTCTAGTTGTTGTGTGACTTGAAGAGATGGAATTCTTGCCCCTCCTCACCAAATTTTAGTGTGACTGTATCAAGGGTCCAGTATTTATTATATGCCAGTTTTTATTTTGTTGTGTTCTGATTAAGAATGTTGGAGCATCTTCACAGCACCCTCTCTGCACCCCGCCCCTTGCTCTCTTGCCTTCTTTGTTGCTGTTGGGCATATGGAGTAGACACAGCTTGTCAAACAACTAAACCAAAGATGCCCTACGATGTGATTCTCTCTGCAGGGAGTCTTCCCCTGTAATTGAAAGCAGCCTGTGTGCAAGCAGGCTTGAGATCACACTCTGACCAAGAGTGACAAAAGGTGAAAATTCTGTCTGGAATTAAGCAGAATAAGAATAAAAGGGGTTCTCAGTAGATGACTGAGAGGCAAATTGGTCTTGAAAAAGAACTATTGGCACCATTTACTGGAACATTGTACACTTCCAATAACTCTACGGTGTAAGTTCTGCCACCATCTTCACTCCAGAGGCAAGGCTCAGAGAGGTTTATGTGACCTACCTAAGGTCACAACACTAAATAAACAGGTTCTGAAAGTCACATACTTAATCACTAGTGTAGGCCAGACAGTGCCTCACTGGTCACTCAAGAATCCTCATAAATGCCTTTTTCCAGTGACATGGTCCCTCCCAATACCACCTCCACCACACACACACACACACACAGACACGCACACACGTACACACACCTCCATTCTTTACTATTGTTTCCCACACAGCAGATTGACTGGAGCCTGGACATATGCTTTGAGTGAGCCTAACAAGCAACAGAGGAGGGGTAATCAGAATCATAAAATGCATGTGCGTTAGTATTAACCCATCATTTGTATTGTAAGAACAAACACAAATCAACTTGGTATCTGTGTTGTTAATAATAAAGACTGACCCAGGTGAGGATCAGGGAATCCCACAGGGGATCCAATCTTCTGAGACACTACCCCAAGGAAAGCAGCCAGGCACTGTCTGGCTGCCAATATTATCATGCATACTGGACAGCTGCTTCCCAGCTCTCTCCTCAGTCTCTGGAGATGGGAGGCCAATACTTCACCTCTTTCCTTTGGAAGGATTAGAAACTAGGTCTGAGTCACTTTTTGGCTAGACTTTGTGTGTGTGGAGAGGGCTAGTTCCGCATGTCTGTGGCCCCACATGTGACTGTGTGTGTGTCCCTGTGATTGTGTTGTGTTCCATAAAACACCTTTTTGAATGCGAGTCTGGCTTTGTGTTTGCCGTTTGCTCAGTGCTATGTATTTTTTCCCTTCAAGTCTTCACTTTCACTCATGATCTGCTTTATGTAATTCCATCAGATGGTTTTCCCAGCCTAGGTTACTTGTATCCAGATGCAGGGAATTTCCATTGTGTTTTTTTTTTTTTCAAAGTAGGAAGTGCCCAGGAAGGAAGATATGTGCTCATGTGCTCAGTGGATGGATGGCCAAGAGTCTGCACTAGGAGCTGTCCTCTGTATTCTGGAAATCCTACATAGCTTAGGAGAACATCCTCCTGCCCCACAATTGCCCCTCAGCAGCACTCCAGCCTCTTCTGAGGCTTTATTCAAGTGCTTCAATAAAGCTGGAGGTGAGGAAAAGATTCTAACTGGAATGTGTCTCCTTTTGCCAACACCATCCCTTCCAGAATCCAGGACATTTAAGGAAGGCTCACAGGGGAATTAAGGAGGGCTCACTTTTCACCTTAGAACTCCTGAGGCCCAAATGACCAGTGTTAGCTGTCTCTGGTAAGGTACTTCCCAACACTTGGAAATTCACTATGTACTTGGCATTACAGAGACTCTTCAACTCCACTGTTTCTTGCTTCCTTGGCCTCAAATTCGCCCTCCCAGACCACTGTGCAGCTTCCAGGTCCCAGTGGCGACTGAGGCCGTGCTCAGCTGGGGAGGAAGAGTGGCCTCTACTTCCTCAAAACTCCTGGGAAGGGATCCGGAGCCCGCTAGGAGATCAAGAGCTTCTCTTGAATCACAGCTGCTACGTGTTTAGTATTCACAGCATGTCTCTTAAAAATGTCCTGAGATCATCAGGCACTGTGCTGTGTGCCTAGCTGCTCTCCCTGGGAGGGAGGGGGACCCTCCCTCTATCTGCTGGTGAACACACATGCACACACACCTTAACCTCCTTCCCTCCTCACCAAACCAATCGCATGCTTTAAGCAGACCTCTGCCAACTGGCAGACTGCGCTCTCACTGAGGTGGGCTCCTGGGCAGGGCCTGGGCTCCAAGCCGCTTTTGCTCCAGTGCTGGGGTGAGGCGCTGGTGCTAGGAGCAGGAGCCGGAGCCGAAACTCAAGGTGCGTGTGGATGTTGGCGGTGGTGATCAGGAGGGGTGCTGCAGGGCGGGCATCCCCAGAAGAAGGCCAGCAAAGCAGGGGCGAGAGGCAAGGTCGGGGGCCGAGGAATGAAGTCCCCGAAGCTAGCGTTTTCCCGCTGCTCTTTCTCCGCGGTTTCTTCCTCACCCCACACCCTTTCCTGGGTTCACTTTGGAAATTGGCTTGCCTTCTTAGCTGCCAGCAGTTCCCGGCAGAGCCCAGCCCGAACGGTCTGGTTCAAGAAGTGAGGCAGTGACGGACTGGGTGGCTGGGTTGCTGGGACGTGTCTTGGGAGAGTCTTTCCTCAACTGTCAATTTTGTGTTTATTTTTAGTTGTGACCCGAGCCAGGAGCTGCGCCTTTAAGCAGCTTTCCGATTCGGGGAAACCGACGCCAACACTCGAGGGTCTGGAGGCTCCCGGAGAGGCCCCTCATTCTGCACTTCCCTCTTTCTTCCGCCCTCCCCTTCCCCTTCCCCCCCCCGCCCCTCGACCGTCCGGCTGCTTCGCTGCCTTCCGTCACCTCGCAGCCTGCCGCACTCCCGGAGCGAGAAAGCGAGGAGCGAGCCACGGCGATGGTGCCGCCCGCGGCGCAGCCATGGAACCTGCCCGAGGAGCCCGCGCACGCCGCTGCCAGCCTGCCCGCAGCCTGCCGCCTGCGCGCCAGCTCCCCGCGTCCCGGGCCAGCTGCGGCCGCCCCGCCAATCTCTGCCCTCCTCTCCGCCCGGCGCCACTGAGCCCCACGCCTGTGCCGAGCTCTGGGGTACGGGCGCCCTAGTCCCGCCGCCGTAGCCACTGCCGGTGCGCCGCAGCTGCCGCGCCACTGAGGCAGAGAAGGAAGAAGAGGAAGGTAAGAAGCGCGCTGCCTTCAGGGGGGCGCGCCTGCAGTCTCAGCCCGGCCAGGGGTGGGTGGCAGCGGGGGCGGGCCGCCCGGGGCTAGCTTGGGAGCTACTGGCGCTTGGAAGTCCTTGGAGCTGAGCACTGGGTGGGGGGCGCCGAGCGTCCGGCTGCCTGGAGTTTGGGCGGGCAAGGGGAGCAGCTGGCTGCATGCCCACTGCCCCGGTGAGTCGTTGGCTTGGCGGGCTCACCTTGGCCACCGAGGGTGCCGGGTGAGGAGCTGAGCGCAGGGAAGTGTAGGGCGTTCATTATAGAGCCTTTGTGTGCGTGCCGGGGCTGTGGGCACAGTTGAGAGAGCTGTCGAGATGCGGGGCCTGACTGCTGGGAGATGGCCACTTAGCTGAGGTGCCCGGCGAAGCCTGAGCCCCAGGGTTGCCAGAAACAGCTGTCTGAAGCATGTGCGTGGTTCCGGGGCCATATTCACAAGCGGACACGGACACGCGCGTGCGCGCACACGCTCGCGTATACACATAAGCGCGCTCCAGCGCGCGCGGCAGCACCACCTTCCCGGGCGCTCAACCACAGTCACCCCCATCCAAAGAGGAAACACACACACATGCAGAGCTACACTTGCCCCCTCCCACTAGGATGCTAATAAAGCAGTCACCCAAACATGTATACAGCTACATGCACACCCTTCAGCACTGCTAAAACATGCACACACACACACACACACACACACACTCACATATTCTTCCCAGTCTGGTGCTTTGAAGCTTGGAGAGTGTGTATATGTTTGCTCAGTGTCCCTGAGAAACTACAAGGCAGCTGCACATTACTGCAGATCCAGTTCCTGCTGCTCCCCCCACCCTCACAGTCACTGCACCCCTTAAGCTTACTGGTGGACACCTCCACCAGGGCCCTTAAGAACTCCATTCTGGTGTAAAGCACGCCCAACTCCTGTGGTCGTGCCCCTCCACATCTGAGCAACTGGGCTTACTGCACACACACACACCCACCTCCCACACACACACACATATACACACACTGAAACCACTGCAGGGACAAATGCTTGACACCTTGCCCCAGAAGCAGGTGATATTCCCACCCATGCAGCTGCCACTAAAGAGCCCTTGATCACAGTAAACACTGGATTCTGCCAGACCTAGACCTCCCCTAGGCATCTTGGCCAGCTGCAGAGCCCTAGAGCCCACTGGGGTGGTCTCAGCATCCTGCAGCTCTTAGGGAGGGCGGGGCTGTCTCTGGAGTGCTGCCCTTGGAGAAACTGCTGTAAGAGCAAGGCTCCCTTGGGGGCGCCCTTCTGAGAGTGGAGGTTTGGGTACTCTATGCTAACTCAGAGCAAAGCGCCAAGTGAGTTTTCCCAGCTGGAGACTCGGGTAAACAGCACTCACGCCTGGGCCTAGAGGGCCCTGGGTAGTCTGGCAATTATGCTAAGGAAGCCCTCAGCTGAAAGACCTTGCCCCTCCCTCCCTTCCCTGCCTGTCAAGCTCACTGTGGGAGAAGCCAGGAGAACCCAGTTCCCAGCTTCCTGGGAGCCGCCAGAGCTTTCCTGGGAAGTCTTTGTAGTTTCCACTGAGTAAAAACTACTCAGCCCCTCCCCTCCCCCAGGAGACCTCAACAAGACTTGGCGATGCCCAAGCAAACATGCTGCGTCTACCAAATTTCATGGCTTATTTTTGAGTGTATGACAGGACCAATTCAAACTCAGCAAACTTGGCCTGAGGTTACCCCTAAGGTGAAATAAGATGTAATGTGTATGTATGTAATGTGCATGGAGGGGGAAGCAAGGTTGGGTGGGATGGGCAAAACAGTGGGTTTGACTGATTTAAGTAGGCGCCAGTCAGACAGTAGCCTTTGGTAAAATTATGACAGAGATAGCTTCAGTGTCAGAGCCCCTTCCTGGCTCCTGCCCCTCCCCTGGGCCACTTGAAGCTCCTCTGGGTTCTTTCCCCCACCCCCTTAGACCATTTAGACCAGGCTTTGCTGCCTACTTGGTCAAACCTGTTGGCAGAATCCCTATGGGGCTAGGTGTTAATAACTGATAGATGTTTACTGCCTATACCTCACACGTCACATTTGCCATTTTTAAAGGAGGCAGAGGAGTGGCTCTGTTTGTGGGGCTTTCAGGCACCTATGGCAGGACTCAAGCCGGGAGCATCTGTGGACAGTGTCGTCTGTCTGCTCTCTGTCTGGGTCCGAATTATGCACGATCGTGCATGTAGGAGTGGCGATGTGGGAAGGTGGGATGTAATTATGGAGGGCTTTGAGGCCCACAGAGAGAAGGTTTAAATTGAGTTGAGAGGCAATCGGGAGCCACTGCAGGATTCTGAGAAGGGAGGGGACATGACCTAAGCAGGAAAGAAACACTCAATGCTGCATGTGGAGATATCCTCCCGTCTCTCTTACCACTACCCACCACCCACCATAATTGTCTACAAGCATAGGCTGAAGGCCACCAGGGAGAGAATGGCTGGAGTAGGGGGTGAGTGCCCCAGGGTCCTGGCTCTGACCATCTTACAGATCAGAGCCATCCTGCAGAGGCCAAGTTCTAGGCCTGAAGCCAGCAAGTGACCCCATAAGAACAAGCTAGCAGTGTTGTTGGTACTATGGCTATGTACAGCACCATGGAGCTTCTACTCTCTTAGGGGAGAAGGCTGGGGACCCATCTTGAATCAGGCAAGGGACCTGTCCCTCTGGTAAGTCCTGGTACCTGCTGGAGTTTAAAGGTCTTGAGAAATGAGCTGTGTGGCTAGGCTGGGGGATTTTGCCACCAATGACATTCTTAGGAAGCAGTAATAGGTTAAAAATATACAAGAAGAAAGCTTTGGAATTGCTGATGACAGCCACAGGCTAGGCAAGCCACTAGGGGTGGAGATGGAAATGGGGTGAGGCAGCTACAGTCCTGGAGGAGAGGTGAGGGTATAGGTGGAAGAGAAGAAGCATTTGCCAGCACTACCCTACCACAGTAATCCCACTTCAGCCCTTGGAGGGAGCATGGGTGGATGTAGGACCACAGAAGCACTCCCCCCACCCCTCCACCAACTCTGCGTAAATGATTGGGCTCAGTGGTCAGCCTGGGCAAGGTGCCCAGAGGAAGTAGCAATAATGCAAGGGAGGAATGATCTCTGATCTTTTGGGGGCCTCCAGCTAGCTAAAGCCATAAACAAACACACACACACACACACACACACACACACACACGACCACCATATATACCTGGATCAAATTGTAGAAAGTGGGGCTCATTCAGACAAGCTTGGCTTCCAAAGCCTTATGCCTTCACATAGGCCCTAGCAATCACTTCTAGGGGGACTAGGTGATCATTGATCCTGGATGAGAACACTGACCTTGGACAGGTCCCTGGGAGGAAGCCACACCCAAGTCAGCTTCAGTTTGAGGGCCCAACTCAAAGCCATTAGAATTCGCAGCAGAAAACTCAAATCTGGCTCTTCTTTCAAGGACTTCTATTTTCCTCCTTACCATAAATTCAGAAAGGAAAATGTCCTCTTGTATTTTCTGCAGCCAAAATGAAATGCTGTCAAAATGAGCTGGACCTTTCAGTCTATTGGGAAATCTGAGAGCCAGGATCAAGGTGGTAGTGTAGGGAGCAAGTGGAGAGAAACACACCATCTTTCCTCCTTTTCAGTTCCCCCTCAGCTGAATTGCTAAAAACAAAAGACAGTAAGGGCTGGGGATTTAGCTCAGCGGTTCCACCACCTACCTCGGAAGCTCAAGGTCCGAGTTTGATGCCCAGTACCAAAAAGAAAAAAAGACAGCAATCTTGGGGTTCTGTATTGTTTTCCACCCATGATAGGCAACACTCCCTTTTCTGAGATGAGAAACACCAATCATACAATGGAACATTAACAGCCGAATGGCACACTAGCACCTACTCCTTAGCAGTTAGAAAATGAGCCAGAAACGAGTATGTGTGTGACGTAGGGGTGGGGAAAGGAGAGACAGAGAAAGGAGAGGCTATCTGTATATGCAGGAGCCTGTTTGTATGTTTGTGTTAATGAACGTGAGCCTGAGCAGGTGTGTGCACATCAGCAGGTTTCTTGGAACGTACTATAGCTACGGACCTCTCTCTGAGCCTCAGCCTCACTCTGGCATTAGCCACTCTAGCCATTCCCAGATTATGAAAGAGTTCTCTGCCTGTCATACTGTATAGGTGTCTTTCCACCTTGGTAATTCCCCCTTTTTTTTCCTTTCTTCCTACTTCCTCCTTCTACCCCTCAAATCTGGGTGTTCTCCAAATCTTCCTGCTTCCTCCTTTCTTTATTGGCAAGGATGCACAACTGTCAGGGATTTCCCCTAGCACCTCTCTACCTGCCTTCCCCACTTCTCTAGCCCAGACTTAACCCTGCTCCTGAAGTTCAGTCCTGTGTTTTCAGCTACCAGCTGGACATTTCCCCTTGGATGGTGTGTGCCATCATCTATCTAATTCTCTCTCAAAAGTGACTTGCTCTTCTGATCTTTCTGTTACCACAAGCCTTCTAGTCTCCCAGGCTAGAAACAAGAACCACTTCTGACCACTGCAGTCCACTCTGCCCCCTGCCACTACTTCATGTCCACACTGCACTAGTCTTTCCTTTGCAGCCCATAGTACACATGCCTGACAGATTAACATGCCAAAGTACCCTTTATTTATGACACTTCTGATCAGTGTTCCTAGAGGGTGACAACTGATTGGCTGTGGGATAAAATTTTACCTCCTTAGCCTGTCCTGAAGGCCTTCTTTGAATGGCCTAACCTTATGTATTCTTCCAACCTTATTTCTTACTCCTTGTGCATATCACTGATTCTCACGTTAATGTGTCATAAAATCACTTGAAAGGTCTTGTTATAATGCAGCTGCCTGGGTCCTATCTCCTGAGCTTCTGATTCAGTAGGTATGGGAGCTAGAATCCAGGAATATGAATTTCACAAGCTCTCCCAAATGGTTCTGATGCACTCAGCATACTTGAGAGACACAATTCTACATGTACCCTC